CAGTGGCTTAGTGGCTAATGTGCCAAGATTATACGTAGCACAAGTATGGTTCGAGTATCGCCAGAAATGCTGATGAGAACGAGGCAAGTTGTGAACTGCTGTACATTCCCGTCTGGATAAGAGCACCATTTGAGAAGCAAGGCCATGTAAAATTCAATATAAACGTAAGGCCTACTCACGTAATTGTTAAAAAAATTTAACTACCAGTCCCTCATCACTTTAACGAAATAGGGTGAATACATATCATATATTAAACAACAAACAGCCTTCTTTAGGCAAAGCATTTTTTCCAAAATTTAAATAAGAAATCTAACCTTAACATAGATTACCTTTCATTCTTATGATAATAGAGCTTAAATGATGCCCTGACTCCTAGACAAGAGGGTCGAACTTACTCAGCAGAATTTTGTTTTCAAATTTATAGGTGGTGGAACACTCACGTGTTAAAATTAAAATTTTAGGACCTGATAAAGGAAATGGAGTTATTCAAGGAAGGGAAAGATGATTGCACTATATAAATTAATATATAAAAGAAAATTGGAGGTTTATCATTCCATAGTCAGTAAACTATAAGTAAAAAAAGAATAATTGTTGGTGAGTTGATGCAGGAAGAAATATACTTAAAAATCAGATTTTCGAGTAATCACTTAATAAGTTTATGTAAATCAGGTTCTCACTTTGAAGTAAAAGTTGGCTTAATGTTATTCGAAAATTAGCTCCCAAGGAAACCTGGTGGTGGAGATAAATAGATTATGCGGTTCATCGACCTGCGAAACATGTTTATATGAAATGAGTAAGTATACCTTATTTAGGAGGGCTCTCACAAATCTCAGCCCACTATCCAAAAATACTTAACCTCTGTACCGTAAGTTCACCAAGTGGCTGGAAAAGATTAAAACAATTAGGAAAGGAGGTTAATATGAACTTTGTCAGGGGTAACTTTATACTCACATTTGCTGAATGATATAAACAAACTTCAGAACAACCTAATTCGTCCGCATTATAAAAGGAACAAACGACATGCTCCACTAATTGGCCGATGTAACGCGAAAGTTGGACAAACTCGATCACTCGAGAGTTTATCGTGTAACATGCAGCAACTATGAGAAAAACATATTGGTGAAACAGGAAGAAAAATCAGCCTGCGTATCAAGGAGCATCGAAGAATCTGGAGAAGAATGGATATAGAACTTGAAACAGCAGAGCAAATTGCGCGGACGACACAAAATCGACAGAAAGATAAGGAAACCCAATATTAAACAGACCATCGATATAAATATCAAAATAAATCTAACAAATAAAAGACTGAAAGAAGGCATAATTAGCTAACTTTTCAATATAGATAGATTTCGAAGGGTATAAGTAATTTTTGATTAAGAGTTTTGCCTGCCTATGTCCCTTAAGGTGATTTACGGACTGATAGTTGAGTATTCCAAAAATGAGATGATTAGGCCCCACAAGGTCACTGAATTTCGCTCAAATTTGCCTTCCAAAAAGCTATCTGATCCAAGGTAGACTAACGTTTCGACCTTGTGTAGATCTCATCGCCACGATACTCCCGACCCGATATTGAATCCAGCTGCGGGGGCTGATAGGACCTAGGCAAGGTCAAAACTGAAGTACACCCAGGAGGAGATAGCCTCTTGAGAGGCAAAGCTAGACGAAATGTAATGGCATCATGAGGCCTACTCATACCAATGTGGGAAAATTCAATTATCAGTCCTTAGACCAGCTTGGACAACCTAGGGTGACCAAGCACTTACTCGAGAAATAGTAAAAATTTGCTTAAGCAAATTCAGAGGAAAAAGTAGAGGCAAAAAAGAGACAACTGGATCAAAAAAGTAGTTTGAACAGGAAGAAAAGGAATCGCAAGCAAGAGGCCTATTGTAAGGAATCTTAAAACAAATGAAGACGTCTACATGAGGTTAGTCAAACTAAGTAAATAGCTGCAGCATTTGGGGATTGGCAGACAAGGAACAAGGGAATAAATAGGAAAGGCAGAGACTTGGCATTATGGAGAGAAACAGGAAGCAAATTGGATCAAAACTCCACTCGACAGATGTAACAGAGACCAGAAAAGTCTGGCTAACAATGCACAGGTCTGATCATAGGCCCGATACATGAAGTAAAAGCTTGACCAAGAGATAAACTAAGATTAGAAAAACTATAGTATTAAATAAGTCTTACATCCAGCCTGAGAGACCATGCTTTTGGGGGCTGCTCAGTGAGGCTACAGTATACGTGCCATCAAATGCTTGAGGCAGATTATCTGAAATAAGGCATCGAGTTGCACAGACATGATGACAGTGATCAAGTAAAAGCATAGAACCATGGAAAAAAGACGAGGCTTTCAGGGCAAGAGAAAGACTTTGATAGGTCCTGGGTGAAGTAAATTGCAGACTAAAAGGGCCAAGTTGCTTGAATATAGGGGAGTGAAAGGGAACCTATGGGGCATGTGGACAGGCTTACAAAATCAAAAAGACACTTATGGAGTATGTTTAACAAGCAAATTAGAGGCTATTATAGAGCAGCTAACGATACGGACATATGGGATAGGTGAATGAACTAGGGCAGGAGAAATACCCCAACTGCTCAGCAGAAAAATAATCAAGGCTTCACTGGATTCTTTGGCGGGTTTTTATTTGATGCTAAAGCTGAAAATACACTTAGGTTGAGAAAAATGAGGTCAAACCACTTTTAATTAAATAAGCATACAGGAAAGAATCTAACAATGAAGCAAGTATATGAAGCAAGAAGTGATTCCTAAAAATGGATACTGTTCTAAACGATCAAAACTCCAAAACGCAGTAGTAACCAATGCACATGCGCATACATACATACAAGAAATATATTTGTCGGATAAATGTTGACACTAAATAAACGTATAAGGATACATGAAATTCACCTACATAAATGATATAATGTTTTCAAAGTTATTACTATGCTTCTCGTAAAAAATGAATCAAGGGGATAACGGACAAATGGAATTCGAAGACTTTCGATGAGAGTTTAGCCATTTTGGTACTCACCTGGGACCATGCGAGACAAGATCCAGTCATTTTCGTGCCAAAGTCGAATTGAAGGGTCCATTGGCTAAGATTCATTACGTCCTGAAATAAAAAAATAAAGTTTCATATTGCGAAGAGATAAAAACACGACCAGGTGAGTTACCACGTTAATGTATCGTTAGAAAAAGCTGAGGCAAATTTGGCAGTAAATAATGTGTCTTGAAATGTGAACCCTAAAATAAGTTTTGGATTTAAGTCTATTGCTAATATATTGGAGCTAAGTAGTGTGTAGCTTAAGAGTTAATACGGCAAACCTGGTGAAATGTACAAAAAGTTGTAATATTGTTTTGACAAAAATATTTAGTATGATTGTTTATCTTATACATTCTGATTTGCCCCTTCAACCTTCAAACCAACCTGTGCCTCATAAATACGCAAAATGCCATCCGTCGAGACACCGGCAAGCTGTAGACCAAGATGACGAGGAGCAAACTGAAGTCCAGTTACCGAGGTGCGAGGATCAACAAGGTGAGCTCGTCGGATCCAACTGCTGCCCGTCGCGGCTCCTCCTGTCTCAACGCTCCCTAAAGAGGGATGGCCAGGTCCGATATTCTATGGAACAAGAAATGAATTTATAACTAACATAAATCTGGCGGAAGGCAGCAAGACGTTATAAATCTAGTGTTGAAGGAGGAAATAATTTGCAGGTATGGAGAAATTTTGAAAGAACCTAGTATAGTTGATGTCAAGTTACCTATATATCGAACACAATATGGATTTCAGTCAAACTTAAAGCTGATCAAAGGTATGAAGACCAAGATGGTGTAGCCTTTTGTGTGTTCACAGTCTCCCTTGGTTGTATAGAGGTTGTTTGACCTTGTTTTCGCAACATGGTCATATTGGTATGAAGACTTAGAAGAACGCACCCAGTCCAGAGTCCATTGTATGCATCATCATTTCCAGAGTAGAACCGTGAACGTGGTACATTCCCAGACGTTTCACCGGCATCGTAGTCGGCATCATCAGTGAGTCTCGCCATTCTTAGC